GCCTTTGAGCTGTGGTGCTGGAGAAGAGTATTGAGGGTACCATGGACTGCTAGGAAAACAGATTCATCCTGGAAAGGGTTAAACCGGATGGCTCCTTGGAGGCAAGGATTCTGAGGCTCCATCTAACATACTTTGGACATGTTGTGAGGAGAGACCGGTCCTTGGAGAGGGACACCATGCTTGGGAGGGTGGAGGGTCAGTGCAGGAGAGGGTTAGGGTTAGGGTTAGGGTTCAGGTTCAGGTGGATTGATTCAGTGACTGGAGTAATCGGGATGGGAGTATTGGAGACAGTGCGATTGGCACAGGACAGAGCAGAGTTTAGGGCTGTTGTACGTAGGGTCGCTATGAGTAGCAAGCAACTCGATGGCACATAACAACAACAACAACATTCATATGTGATATACACAATGTTAGCAGGTATTTTATTCTTATAGGAAGTGTTTTGTTAGTACTTTGCACTTTATTTTGCCAACAATTATGTGTGTGTATCATATGTGTGCGTATATGAGGGTATGTGTGTGACTGTTGAGTGCCATTGAGTTGGAAATGACCCATAGCCATGAGTATGTTGGGGCAGGCTATGCCCCTGTCTCACCAGGAGGTGTCCCTAGGCATCAGAGGAGTCCCACATAGGCGGAGAGAAGTCCAGGCAGGATGTTTCAGAGGAGAAAGCCCTGAGGACAGAGAATGGAGAGCAGGCAGCTGCACACTGTCCTCTGTGTCTTGGTGTCTCTTTCCTCAGCAGACGGTTCCCACAAGCCCAAGCTGTCTGCCTGGCCAAGCTGCGTGGATCCTCTCAGAGGGAGCGTGACTCTGTGGTGTCAATCTCACCTTCACTTTGGAAAAATCAAAGTATTACACAAACGTGGAGTTTACTTCTCCTGTGAGCACCTCATAGATTCCAACAAGTTCATCATGAGCCCTGTGACAGAAAAACATGTGGGAACCTATAAATGTTCTGGGTATGACAGGGACTGCTCTGCCTTGTCACCATACAGTGACGCCTTGGAGATAGTGGTCACAGGTAGGAGAAGCCCAGTCCAGCCATGGCCACCCTGTGTCCAAGACAGCCTCACTCATCGCCCAGACCCCACAGACCTCGGAGGGTCATTGTGGGATTCCTAGGTGGGACCTTATCTTAGGGTGGGTTCTCTGGAGAAGCAAAACCAAGGAAGCTTCCTTTCTGACAGAAAGAGAGACCTGGTCGAAGGAGGTGGGCCATGTGTGTGTAAAGGTCAGGCGTCTCGGGTCTCCAGGGTTTGCTTCAGGAGAGACACCCACACTTCAGGGAAGGTGATTGATGCACCCAGGTATTCTCAGGCTGCCGGCATCAGAGGCTGAGTCCAGTGGTCCGCTCAAATGCTGAAAAGCCCTAACTTGGAAAGTATGTCAGGCCGCTGGGTGAAGCCTCGAGGCCAGCAAGCGCGACGCAGAATGGTGGGGCGAAATCCCTGAAACAAACACACCCGACAGACCTAGAATCACTACAGACCATAGCTCTGAGGAGACCCCCCC